AAAAAGGGACAAACTTACTTGGCATTTCTCAAGCTGAAAGAACTGAAAAACAAATTCCAGCATTGAGTTGCAATACTAAGAGATGTTACAGGCAAAATCTCAAATGATCCAGGAGGCATCAAAAGGAGATGGATGATATATTCCAAGCATTGGAATAGCTGGATCATACAGAATTTCTATGTTTAGCTTTTTGACGAAGCACCAAACTGCCTTCCAGAGTGATTGTATCATTTTACAATTCCACCAACAACGTAAAAGACTTCGTATCTCACCACATCCTCTCCAACATTTGTTACTTGCAGTCCTATTAAACTTTGCCACTGCTACTGTATTGAGATGATATCTTATTGTGGTTTTGATTTGCATTTCTCTTATAGCCAGTGATTTGGAGCATTTCTTCATATGTCTGTGAACCATTTGGATATCATCCTCTGTAAAAATTCTTTCCATGTCTTTCGTCCATTTTGTAATTGTATTATCAGTCTTTTTCTTGTGGAAGCCCAGGAATATTCTATAAACTTTCTTTATGAGACTCTTGTCTGAGATGTTATTTCTCAATGTTTGTTCCCAGTCAGTAGGTTTTCATTTCACCCTGCTGGAAAAAGTTTTTGATGAACACAGGGAATTAGTCTTTAGAAGGTCTCATTCATCAATTTTATCCTCTTCATATTGTATTTCTGGCTGTATTTGACAGTCTCTTTATACCATAGACTAGGGCTTCTAAGCTTGATCCCAGTTTGTCTCTTATGAACTTTTTGGCTTTGGGCTTTACCCCCAAGTCTCTTATACACCTAGAGGTGATTTTTGTGTATGGTATGAGATGTGGATCCTGTTTCGGTTTTCTGCAGATAGCAGTCCAGTTTTTTCAGCACCATTTATTGGAAACATGTACAACAATGTTCATAACAGCATTATTTACCATCACAAAAACTTGGAAACAGCCCAAATGTACAACCACAAACAAAAGGATTGAGAAGTTGTGATACATTCACAGAATGCAATACGGTGCAGCACACAGGAGCAATCATTTTGTAAACTACTACGTGGTGTGGGAGGGACTGGAGAACATTATGCTTAGTAAACTAACTCAGTCCCACAAAGACAAATACTGTATAAAACCATTATTGTAGAATGAGTTTGAGGATCTAAGGTGAGGGGAGGGTGGAAATAGAGGGGTGAGGATGGGGGTTGGGTAGGGAGTTAATGATAAGGTTGCACAATTCGATCAGTGGGTGGGGTGAAGGAAATGGGAAGGATTTTTTGTGAAAAACAATATATTCAAACTTTGTAAATAAATCAGGATAAACACACACACACAACACTATGTATGGAAATGACTGTATAAAACTAAATGTACATGAATTAAAAAATGTATATGACTAATTGTATAAAAGTGAATGATGGTATAAATAATAATAAATTTTAATTTTTTTTAAAAAAAAAACCAAAAAAAAAAGAAGATGATGGAGGGGATACACAGAACCATCGTGCCACGGGAAATAACCAAAACTGAAATATTTTAGGAAACACTATATGCTCAAGAGCCAGTGGTATTGAAGGGAGACATTCAAGCTACAATGAAGGCATTGGTGAAAAAGAAAGCCCCAGGAATTGACAAGATACCGACTAACATGTTTCAAATGACAGATGCTGTCCTAGACGTGCTTACCAGTCTACGCTAGTCTGGGTGACAGACTGGAAGAGATCTAAAGAATGTCCCCATTCCCAAGAAAGATGATCCAGCAGAGTATGGAAACTAATGAACAATACTTTAATATCATATGCAAGTAAAATGCTACTGAAGATCATTCAAAGATGTCTGAATCAGTACGTTGAAAACTGCCAGATGTTCAAGCTGGATTCAGCAGTGGGTGTGGCATCCAGGTTACATTGCTGATGTCAGATGAATCCTGGCTGAGGACAAAGAATGCCAGAAGACTGTCTATTTGTGTTTCATTGACTGTGCAAAGGCATTTGGATGTGCAGATTATAACAAGTTATAGCTAACACTGAGAAGAATGGGAATCCTAGAATACTCAATTGTACTCATGTGAAACCTATACCTAGAGCAAGAGGCTGTTGTGCAAACAGAACAAAGGAACATTACATGGTTTAAAATAAAGAAAAGTGTGTGGCAAGGTTGTATCCTTTCTCCATACCTATTCAGTCTGTATGCTGAGCAAATTATTCAGCATACACATTATTTGAAGCTGGACAAGGAAGAAGAATGTGGCATAAGAATTAAAGGAAGACTCAACAATAACCTTCAGTATGCAGGCACAACTTTGCTGAGAGTAAGGACAACTTGAAATACTTGATGCAGATGGTCAAACACTGCAGCTTTCAATATGAATTGCATTTCAACATCAAGAAAAGAAATTTCACACCACTGGACAGATAGGCAACATCATAATAGATGGAGAAAAGATTGAAACTGTCAATGACTTCATCTTACTTGAATCCACAATCAATACACTTGGTACCAGCAATCAACAGGGATGATAGAAAGAGAATTTATGCCTTTGAGCTGTGGTGCTGGAGAAGAGAGTTGAATATACCATGGACTGCCAGGAGAATAAACAGGTTTGTCCTGGAGAGAGTGAAGCCAGAATGCTCCGTGTAGTCAAGGATTCTGAAGCTTCATCTGATATACTTTGGGCATGTTGGAAGGAGGGACTGGTCCTTGGAGAGAGACATCATGCTTGGGAGAGTGGAGGATGGAAGGAGAGGAAGACCCTTGGTGAGATGGATTGATTCTGTGAGTGGAGTGATGGGAATGAGTGTGTTTGAGACGGAGAGGTTGGCACAGGATAGACCGGCATTTAGGGCTCTTGTACATAGGGTCACTATGAGTCACAAGAGACTCAATGGCACATAACAACAACAACAACAACAACAACCAGCAGTCGGGCAATCAAGAAGACATGTTGCACTGGGGAAGTCTGCAGTTGGGGACCTCTCCAAATAACTGGGAGCAGCAATGTTAATTTGAAGACTAAGGTGTGCCTGATTCAGACCATGGTCTTTTCACTTGCTGTGCATCTGAGAGCTGGGCAATGAATAAGGATGATGGAAGAAAAATTGATGCTTTTGAACTATGGTGTTAGAGAAGAGGACTGAGTATCTCAAAAGAACAGATATGTTTTGAGGAAGGTGAAGTCAGATTTCTCCTTAAAAGCAAGGATGATGAAGCTTTGTCTCTCATAATGTGGGAATGTTGCTAAGAGAGGCCATTCCGTGGAGAAGGACATCATACTTGGAAAAGTGGAGGTACAGCAGGATGGAAAACCCTCAACCAGGTGGATTGACACAGTGACTACTACAAAGGGCTCGAGGTGTCAGAGATTGTGAGGTTGGCACAGGACAGGACAGGGTTCAGATCTGTTGTTCATAGGGTTACTATAAAACGTACTCAACTCCGCAACACCTAACAACAACTATAGTGCATTTCTATATAATGTAATAATCTATACCCACGGTCAAATTTATACTACCTTATTTTGTGTTTTCACCTCTTTCCAGGAATATTAACAATCTTCAGGTGCTTGTTAAACATCTCTTTTATGGGACAAATTAATTTATTTTAAAGAAGTAACATTAATTTTTGAAATACAAAATAATTTTCTTCTACCTCATAAAGAAAAGTGACTATGATGTAGCAGAATATGCTATGTTCAGCATCTTTTTTATGTTAGAATACCAATAGGTTTTCGTTTATTTGGCAAACTGAGTAATATGAGGATCTGTAGGTCCTGGTTACCTGATAATTAGTACAACAGAAATGTGTTCTTTTGCTCTCATTCACACAGGAGGATCTTGACGATACAGTGTTTTAGAGTTATAGATTCTCTCTGAATGAATAGGGAGCTCTGGTGGCCTTGAGCTAAGAAGCCCAAACTACCATACCAAAGTCATGCAGTTCAAATCCACCAGCTTCTCTGCAGGAGAAGGATGGGCAATCTCACCCTATGCAATTTACTGTCTTTGGAAACCCACTGGAGGGCCAGCTATGAGTTGGTTTCAACCTGATGCCACACAATAGCAACATCAACAACAACAACAATTATGTATTAATCCAGTAAAAACCTACCCAGACTGCTTGCTGGTGATGAACCTACTTGAACCATTGAGTTCTTGTTTCTATGTTAAAAATTACCTTTTGCTATTGTCACTTTTTAATATTGCCTCATATTCCTGGAAAAATTAAATTCTAAAACAACCTAACAAGTTTCTCTTAAGAGACAAATGGAACTACCTTGCTACTAGGTGGGGTCGAGCTGAGTCCCGTGCACGACTTTCCTGCACGACAGAGTCGAATGCCTCAGGAGGATTTCCCAGGCTGTAAACTTGGTTGGAGCAAATTACCAGATCTGTGTCCTGCAGACTTCAGTTTTTGTTCAATCGCCAACTCTCCCCCTGCCATAATTTTGATGTTGTTCAGGAAATAGTTGGTTCAGTATCAGGAGCAACTCAGAATTCCGTTTTTCAATCAGGACAGTGTCTTCTCAGCCATGCCCAAAACATGCCTCCCTCTCGACTCTGCCCTGCTCAGGTCAAATATGATAAAGCTCTTTTAGTTTGGCCAAAGGGAGCCTCTGTTTGGCCCTTTAACTGCTACTTTTAACCATGTGCCACTCACACCCCAATCTAAAACTGGCTTGATTTGCCGTTGAGTTAATTCTGACTCACAGCAGCCCGAGACTTTGCACTAACGGGAGGAGATTGCTCATCATTCTCTCAAGGAGCTGAGCGTGGATTTGAACCCTGGAGATGTTCATTCGCCTTCTGGTTTGTAGCTCTATGGACTAAGTCACCACATCTCCTTATTGTGCCATCAGGGCTCCTAAATGAAATAATCGCTTCTATCGAAGATTTCAAAACTTATGAAAGCAAGCAAGTGCTATAAAATTTATGAGTCAACAGCGTAGGTCTCTGGTATATGATTCCACTATGTAAAATTATTTTTTCCTTTTTTATATGTGTATCTTTGTCCCAAGAACATGAGGAACAACCAGACCTGGATCACAGAGGCCGTCCTGCTGGGGTTCCAGGTTGACCCAGCGCTGGAGGTTTTCCTCTTTGGGTTATTTTCACTGTTTTACAGTCTTACCATGTTGGGGAACGGGACCATACTAGGGCTCATCTGGCTGGACCCCAGACTGCACACCCCCATGTACTTCTTCCTCTCACACCTGGCCGTCGTTGACATGTCCTACGCCTCGAGCACTGTTCCCAAGATGCTAGCAAATCTCGTGATGCAGAAGAAGACCATCGCCTTTGGTCCATGCCTTCTGCAGACGTTTCTGTACCTGGCGCTCGCGGTCACGGAGTGCATGGTTCTGGTGGTGATGTCCTATGACCGGTACGTGGCCATCTGCCACCCCTTGCAGTACACCATTGTGATGAGCTGGAGGGTGTGCACGGGTCTGGCTGCCACCTGCTGGGTCTTTAGCTTCCTTTTGGCGCTGGTGCATCTCTCTCTTATTCTGAGACTGCCTTTCTGTGGTCCACAAACAATCAACCACTTTTTCTGTCAAATCATGTCAGTATTCAAGCTGGCCTGTGCAGACACCAGACTCAACCACGTGGTCCTCTTTGCTGGCTCTGTGTGTGTGTTGGTGGGACCCCTCTGCCTGGTGCTGGTCTCCTACACCCGCATCCTCGTCGCCATCCTGAGGATCCAGTCTGGGGAGGGGCGCAGAAAGGCCTTCTCCACCTGCTCCTCCCACCTCTGTGTGGTGGGGCTCTTCTTTGGCAGTGCCATCGTCATGTACATGGCCCCCAAGTCCAGCCATTCTCAAGAACAGAAGAAGATTCTGTCTCTCTTCTACAGCCTTTTCAACCCAATGCTGAACCCCCTGATTTACAGCCTGAGGAACGCAGAGGTGAAGGGCGCCCTCCGGAGGGTGCTGTGGAAACAGAGACCAATGTGAGAGGTGGTTTCAAACACCCTGAGCGCATGCTTGGTCCATAATGACCATGGTGCCGTTTCAAACCTCTGAAACTCATTCTCCTTACAACTTCTTTAAAATGAGCAAAAGAAACCTGTTCTGCTTAAGCCATTTTAGACGTGGTCTTCTGTTACTTAACTATAAAATGTCCTAATTGATACATCAAGGGACCTCTGACGGTGTCATTCAGAGAGAGCTATCTGCTAATACAAAGAATGAACTTCTCTGGCTGTTCGAATCCAGCCGAAGCACCAGGGGAGAGGGCTGGATAATCTGTGCCGTTCACAGCCTCGGGGAAAGCTGTGGGTTGGTGCTAACTCAATGGCAAAGAGTTTGAGGTTTTGTTTCCTTTGAATGATAATTCAAACACATGTAGAAATGAATATGTATAGGTGTGTGTACACATGGGTGTTTTGTGTGTGTAAAAACTCAGGAAATATTAATATATGAAATATTAAAACAAAGCTCCACCTATTATTTCTCAGTCATCAGTGTATGATGTAAGCTTGTTGTTGCTAATTCCCTCAATTAACTATGACTCTTAGTGACCCTATGAATGACAGTTTAAAGATTAAGATGCACTTGATTCAGGCCGTGGTCTTTTCAGTCATTTGCAATCTATCCGAGAGCTGGACAATGAATGAGGATGACAGAAGAAAAGCTGATGTCCTTGAGTTGTGCGTTGGGAGAGAGCACTGACTCTCATGGACTGCCAAGACGCAGACAGCTACGTCTCGGGAAAAGTGCTGCCAAAGTGCTCGTTGGTGGGGCAAAGACTTTAAAGCTTCCGCTCACCTACTCTGAGCCTATCGTGAGGAGAGGCTATTCCGTGGAGAGAGATATCATGCTTGGAAAGTGGAGGGCCAGCTAAAGAGAGCAAGGTCCTCAAGAAGATGGACTGACACAGTGACCGCAGGAATGGGCTCAAGTGTATCAGAGATGATGGAGATGGCACAGGGAAGGACAGGTTCAAATCTGTTGTCCAGGGTCACTATGAGTCGGACTTGACCTTGACAGCACTTAGCAACAATGGCCACAACAGCTAAGCTAACACTTATGTTAAGGTTGTTCTGTATCCCAGTGTATAGGTTAGCCTACGGGCAGGGTGTTCTGTGCTCCATTGTGTAAGTTTTGTATTACTTTATATTTTCGTTTCATCCATTGTTTGGTTTAAGGTCAAAAGAAGCAGAAATCATGCTTATAAAAGTGAGGATTTGGCTTCTCTTAGGATCTTGTTAGCTCTTAACCTGTCTCATTAACTCTCAATAATGTTATAAATTTTTTTTCTGATTTTATAGACCTGTCTTAGTGAAAACTCACATGCTGGTAGAAAAGAAAAAAGACACTATTGAAAACTTATTTCCTGAAATGGAGCCATTTGATTGTGGTTGGACATCTGGGTTGTTTCAATGTTCTTGCGATAGTGAATAATGCTGCTGTGAACAGTGGTGTACAAGTCTCATGCTTCAGTTCTCATTTTCTCTGGGTTTATTCCAAGTAGAGGAATAGCTGGATCATAATAGAATTTCTATGTGCAGCTTTTTAAGGAAGTGCCAGCTGCCTTCCAGAGTGGTTGTACCATTGTACAATCCCTCCAACAATGTATAAGAGTTCCTATCTTGCCACATCCTCTCCAACATTTATTATTTGCTTCCCTGTTAAGCTTTGCCACTGCTATTGGAGTAAGATGGTATCTCGTTGTGGGTTGGTTTTTTTTTTTTCTTTTTCTTTTTTGGGACACTTCTTGCTGATCTTCTCTGTATCGTTCCAATTTTAGTATATGTGCTGCCGAAGTGAGCACCTCATTGTGGTTTTGATTTGCGTCTCTCTTATTGCCAATGATTTTGAGCATTTCTTCATGCATCTGTTTGCCATTCAAATATCTTCCTCTGTGAAAATTCTTTCCATGTCTTTTGCCCACATTGTGATTGGGTTATTAGTGTTTGTTTTCTTTTTTTCTCTTTCTCTCTCTCTCTCTCTCCCTTTCTCCCCCACTCCCTCACACCTTTTTGAGGCCCAGGAGTATTCTGCAAACTTTCATTAGAAGATTCTTGTCTGAAATGGACTTGCCAAATGTTAGTTTTCAGTTGGTAAGATTTGTTTGTTGTTTTTTCCCCCCACTCTGCTGGGAAAAGTTTTTTATGTGCACAGAGATTTAATTTTTAGAAAGTCCCATTCACCAATTTTATTTTCTTCAGTTTGTGCATTTCAGGCTATATGTGTCAATCTCTTTACACCATAGACTAGGCCTTTTAAGTTTTATCCCAGTTTGTCTCTGATGAACTTTATGGTTCTGAGCATTACTCCCAGGTCTCTGATCCACCTTGAATTGATTTTTGTGGGTGGTGTGAGATGTGGATCCCGTTTCAGCTTTCTGCAGGTAGCAGTCCAGTTTTGCCGGCACCATTTGTTGAAGAGGTTGTCGTTAGCAAATTTGATAGTTTTTATTTCTTTGTTGAATATCAGTTGACTGTAGCTATCTGGGTCTATTTCTGGGTTCTCAATTCTGCTCTGTTGGTCTGGGTGCCTGTCATTGTACCAGTACCATGCTGCTTTGTTTTCCACTGCTGTGTAGTAGGCTTTGAGGTCAGGGAGTGCTATGCCTCCAACCTTATTTTTGTTTCTAAGAAGAGTTTTGCTTATTCTGGGTCTCTGCTTTTCCAAATAAATTTCATAATTTCCCTTTCCATCTCCTTGAAAAATGAATTGGGTAACCGTATTGGAATTGTGAAGAAAGACATTTTTTTTAATTGGGAAAAACATATTGGGGGTACAAGGAGGTGAGGGTTGGGGGCAGAAGGGTGAGGATGGGCCAGGATGCAGTTGCAGAGCTGCACCGTTTGGTCGGTGGGGGGAGCAGGTGAAGGAAATGATGAGGGTCCAGTGGGGACCAGATGCTACAGAGGAATGACAAGCATTTTCCAATAGTAATTAAACCAACTGTCTTATTGATTTGGGAATTGGATGCCTACTCTCCGGCTTCTTCATGCTGAACAGGGGCGTAGATATAAAGGGGGGAAGGGAGGACGCTTTATCACCTTACTGGTGGTCTTGGGTTACAGCTGCTTGCCATCTTGCTCCTGAGGGCCACGATGGTTCGCCCCGAGCCAGGGGCCAAGTGCAGCTCGCCCCAGGCAGAGGGTCACGACGGCTCGCCCCTGGCAGAGGGCCGAGGGCAGCCCACCCCGGGCAGAGGGCCGCGACGGCTCGCCCCTGGCAGAGGGCCGAGGGCAGCCCACCCCGGGCAGAGGGCCGCGACGGCTCGTCCCGGGCAGGGGGCCGAGGGCAGCCCGCCCTGGGCAGAGGGCGCGACGGCTGAAGTAGTCTTTTTTTAAAAAAGAAGAAGTGTGTGTGTGTGTGTGTGTGTGTGTGTGTGTGTATACCGTCAAATTGGATCTGACTGGTACAGGAGACTGCCCCTCCTTCTCCAGCAGAGCATGAAGTAGAGTCTGGGTTTTTTCCCCCCCCAGGTGCCTGTCGGGGCCTGGGTTTCAGCTGTCCACACCACAGCAGTGGGCAACGAGCTTAAAGCCCCTGATGGCTCTGGGCACTGACTCTCACCAGTGGCTATGGATGAAGTCACAGGCGATTTTCAGCCAGCGCCCCGAAGAAAGACATTTTTAATAACAACAATAATAGCATCATAATGTTGGAGACTAAATGTGTTTCAGAGATTGCTTCTCATGTCAAGCATAGTAAGCAGAGTTTGTTAAGACTGCTGCTGTTTTCTTATCCCCTGCTTTGCACACTCTGGGAGCAGACAATAATTACAGCAACAATTAAGGTCAAACTTAATGTATGTTTGTTTACAACCCTTTTTTATTGGTGACTAGGAAAGAAGCGAGGATTTTGTTTGTCCCACATAAGCCATTATTTGAAAAAGTTACTGCTCATCTAATTCATCCTTCCTCAGACTTGGTTGCAAAAGGATAAAACACCATCACAATGTCTACAAAATTACTTCATGGTCTGTTTTCTCTTTATGTGGAATAATTTCCCCATAGATATTTTATTCTGATATTGTACTCTTGCAAGCTCAGATTCACAGCAGGTAAAAATACTGCATTAGTTTCCTAGCCCTGCTGTAAGAAGTTGTAGCAGCCAGAAACAATAGAAATTTATTCCTCACAATTCTGCAGACCAGTCGCAGAGATTGAGATGGGCTGTATCTGTACATCACCAAGGACTGGCAGTATGTATTTGGCAGAAACTGTCTCTTGGATGCACATTGAGCTTGAGATGAGTTCTAATTACCATTTTAGAGAAGTTCTCCAGGCTTGCATCCATGCCGCGCATCCTCCATTCATTCCCTAGGAGAGTGTCTTCATCATTCACACATAATGTTAGCATATGAAAAGTGTAAGGTCACGTTAGAAGGAAGAGTTAACATTGGGGCCATACAGAAGAAGATCAAAGACTCAAGTCTTCAATATAAATTATCTCTCAGCTTCAAGAAAACAAAAACCCTCATCACTGGACCAATAGGCAACATTACGATAAATGGAGAAAAGATTGAAATTGTCAATGTTGTTGTTGTTGTTGTTATACTTATGTACTGTTAAGTTACTTATGACTCATAGTAACCCTATGTACAACAGCTCTGAACCCTGCTCTATTTTGAGCCAACCTTATTGTCTCTGACACACCTACCCCTATTATCCCAATCACTGAGTCTCATCAAGAGTCTTCCTCTCATGCACTATCCCTTCACCCTGCCTAGCTTGATGTCGCTCTCCAAGGACTGATACCTCCTTGCAACATGCCCAAAGTATGTCAGACAAAGCTTCTGAATCAATGCCTCCAAGGAGCAGCCTGGCTTCACCCTCTCCAGGATGAAAATGTTGGTTCTCCTAGCAGTCCATGGTATGTCCAATACTCCTCTCCAGCACCACAGCTCAAAGGCATCAATTCTCCTTCTATCATCCCTAGTCATTGTCCAGCTCTCTGGTGCACAGCAAATGATTGCAAAGACCATGGTCTAG